CGTGCGACAAGGGTGTGTACTCAGCCCCCGATTGTTCAATGCTGTTTTGCTGGTGGGCAATGTTGGACTGGAGAAGTGAGAATGGTTTCAATTTAAACAACGGTTTTGGCACATTATTCGATTTACGGTTTGCTGATGAGGTTAGAGTGCAGAAACGGTTCTGCTGTTGGATTCACTGGTGACAGTTTTGGCCGGCGTTGGTTTGCGATTGAACCCGGGCAAAACTGTTGCTTTGACAACTGACGCCCAACCTCCCATTTGGTAACCGAACATGGTGCTCACATCAAGTTGGCGTCTCATCAATGGCTAGGGTGTGTCTTCGCGATAAAGGGGACCAAATGTTCGGGTATAGATACAGAACAACATCTTTAGAAGGTTTGCTGTCGCCCGATTTAAAAAGTTGAAAAATACAACCATCTATTTACGGTTCCTTCAGGATCTGTTTAGGGTTGGTTTAAAATTTGGTTAGTTAGTGTTGGTTTATTGTTTGTTTAAGATAACGCTGACTTAGGATCTGTAAAATTCTGTGAAGGGTTTAGGGTTTAGGTTTATTCAGCTTTGGTTTAATGAGTTTAATATTTATGTGGGTTAGTGTCAGGTTTCAAACGTGTTTCGCGCTTAAAGTGTATTGTTAATAAGTTTCTTACGGTTTGTATGTGAAAAGCAAATAGAAGAGAGCAGGGAAGAGCAGAGAAGCAGGGAAAAAACAGAAAAAAAAAATGAAGCAGGGAAGCGAGGAAAAGCGGAAAAGTAGGGACACGCAGAAAAGCAGAGAAGCGGTTGCTTTGTTAGGATGTGGATAGAAATGCCCACCTGTTGCACGCCTGTTTTCGCGAACGTTTTTCAAAGCAGCAATCATGTTTGGTCCTTGCTTAAACTGGCTGGGCCAGAAGCGAACCCAGGCGTGAACCCAGGTGCGAACCAACCTTCCCCGGTGTTTCCCCTAGTAAACCTGTGCTACTCTGTGATCGTTTGGTTTGCATGGGCGCATTGCTTTGAAATATCGACGCACCGTCATTTACCAAATGTGCAAACTACAACATCCGGCTCCGCCTGCTCACAATCCATCAAAGTGGACAGATAGGCCAGGTTTGCTTTGGGCCACTTGTGCCAAGCAGATCCATATGTGGCGCAGATCACGTGCCAAAAACAAAACATGGTGCAAGTTCCACCTTTCAGGGATGCACTTTGTTCGAATAACGTCTGCACAAGTACACAAGAACTCAGGGACGCCTGCTGCCATGAATGTTGCTAAGAACCGTTAAGAAGGCACGGTATTTCACTGAAACACAACAAGGGTCGCACAGCACAACAACTGGCAGTGCCAGATAGCAAGACCAAAGAGAACGGAACACAAGGAAGATATGTAGACACTGCACAAAACAGAACATGTCACAAGAAAAGAAAGAATATGAAAGAATTATGTACAGTAATGCCAATGTAATGCCTACAAATCAGGGGCGGAGAAACAGAACAACAACCTCCTTTACAAAATGGTCGCTCGAACGAACCCCTGCCAGGCAGCAGCCGCGCAGCCGAGGTAAGGGACTTGAGCTTGTGAAAGGTGAGCGAGCCCGTACTCAGAAAATCTAATTTAACAAAGAATACCAAAGGTGAAATGTTGCAGAAAGTTTCGCCGGCTGAGTAAGCGAGTGAACACATTAAACACAATATTATCATTATACCTCCTCAAGCAGCACACATTGAAGAACACAAAGAAGCAAATAGAGTTCATCTTGAAGAAAACACAAATAGCATGTGTTTCTGCCTTTTTGTTGAGCCGCAGTACATGTTCCAAGCAAAACTGCAAAGCGGAAGGCTTATAGTAGCAAGACGCAGAAAAGCAGAACAAAAGGCCCTGGACACACAACGAGGGACAGGAAAACACCATATAAGGCCATGTACCAGGAATACAACATAACCATACAAGACCGGTATGCAACAAGGCAAAGCGTAAAACACCATCCTCAGCAACACATCGCTTCCAATTTTCCTCAAGCACAGACACCCTGCGCAAAAAGAACGTGTGGAAAAAAGACAACAAAAGACAACAAAAGACAACGCAACACTGAAGGGGGGCAAAGAGCACAACAACCTCAGCGGAATTTAGCAACGAACAAGTGGCGACAACAGAAACAGAAGGCCATGCAAATCAGCAAGGTGCACGAGAACATAGCAGAAAACTATGAAAAAACATGAGCATCGTCACATTCCCGCCAGCGTGGCTTCCAAGAGTGTCTCAGTAAGGGCAGTGCCTGACCAACTCTTACAGACTCAGAGCGTTGCAAGAGAGTGTTACACCAGAGCGTCCCACAAGATCTCACGAGGGTGTCTTTCAAGACTGTCATATAAAAATGTCCCACAAGAGTGTACCACAAGACTGTACCATAAGAGTGGGTTGCAGGGGTGTTGTGCAGGAGTGTCACAAGAGAGGAGTGTCTAGCAAGAGGTCTCCCACAATTGTCACAAGAGTGCGTTCCAAGAGTGTCCCAAAAGATTCAGGAGTGTCCCACAAGACTTTGGTCCCGCATTTCCTTCTGCAATGCAGTTCGTAGCTCCCCATGGGGCGCGTTCTAATACCCAAATCACCCAGGATATTTGACGCAACCGCGCAACCCACGCCTGTTGCGTTGATACAACGGGCCTACAGCGTTACATCATCTGCTTGGTAGTTGATCCACCTCTTGTAAAGTAGTCGCCTTCCGTTAGACACGACTTGAGCACCTTGCGCTGTCCAACGGGTTCGACTGCTTTGCTGCAAAATGAGCCGGTCAAGGAGAGGTCAACCTCAAAATCCTTGTATATGTTTGGTTGTCTCCAAGCCCACTAAAAACATCTAAAATCTGTCACCACCAGGACTTCTTAAGCAAGGCACCATTTTCAACTCTCAGTAGTCAGGGGAGTATGTCGGTAAATGTTCTGTCCAGTGTATCGCCAGGTATCGTTCATCGTCTGCGCGGTTTGTCTTGCATGTGACTGGTTTGTCTGTTGAGGCGTCTGACTGCAAAGCATCGAGAAGCGGCCAGTCCAATTTTATCTTGTTTGGGGCGACCTTTTGCCTTTCGCCGCGTGTCTGGTTCTTGGAGCGAGAGATCGATAGTGATCCAACATGATCCAACATGATCCAACACTGTTGAACTTTATGTGGTCCTTGTGTGCGACAGTGAGCAGCAGCAAGTGCCGAAGCGGCGTCATAGGATGTCATAGGTCTCCCGCCCCAAGGTGGGAGAGAAGGGAAGCTCAAATTGTCTGAAAACCTTTCGTGTTTCAGTTGATCTCTCTGCTCTGTCTTTTCTGATCTAGTTATCTGATCTAGTCACTAATTGCCCTGCGCAGGAATTTTAATGCGTAACTTCTACAAGTCGCAGAAGTTTCATGGGAGCGGCTGTCAACATATTCATCGTTTGGCGTCGTCACCCTTAACCTTGCGTCCTAGTGCAGCGGCTGTTGCAATCCCACATCACGTTGCGGAGCCGCGAAAGATTAGTTCCATTAGTTGTACTCAAAGCCTCATCCCCTGGTTCGAAATGAACCGTCCAAAGTCCAAGTACCCGAGAAGTCTCTTTTTCATCGCCAGCAGTAGTGGTCGTCAGACACCTGTTAACGTCTTGGCGCAACGGCCACAGCGTTTGCATCTGCCATGTTTCCATGCGCCATGTTTCCATGGTGTTGAAGGTCATGCTGGGCTCAAGATGCATCAAAAGGGTGGAAAGTCCAAGCCATGTTAAGCGTGCCGAATATCATGGTAAAATGAAAGTCAGTCCATGAAAGGAAGTGGTGCGAGAAATAAGATAAATCAGTGCATGTGTCTCGGTGGATCATTTTATTGAGTATTAAACCTGGAAGCAAAATCGATATCAGGGACCACGCCTTAAACACGCTTTGCATCAATCCTCAAATATCTCAAATGAAAAGCAACGCCAGTCATAAAATGTCGCAATTAATTTTGTTTACCTTCCCTGCAACTAACAACCGTCACGAATATGACTTGGTGTTGTTAGCATGGCCAACAACATCCAACAACCAACAGATCTGAAGAACCTGCACTCAGCTGAGTCCGTTGCACCGCTTTGGGGGTGCGGCAAGGGTCGCGCAGATCTGTACATGCCCACCACGGCCCCACCGACAAAAACTGATCACTCATGATCACTCCAAAGGTGTGGAAAACATTTTGAATGCGACATGTCTGACGTGTCGGTGCTTTGTTCTCCCATATTGGTTTGATGTTTGAGCGCTGGCGTTTTCTTCTTGTATTTCTTCTGGTTTTCGCAGGCATTGGTCGTACCTTCCCCTGCCTAGCACAATCTGCAAGCTAACAGGCTGAAACTCCATGACTTAGAATGACAGGCTGAATGTCAGAAAACAGGCGGACAAAGTGCCCCTACTTTTATATGTTGAGAAGGAAAATAGCCTTTCATTGGAGATGTAGGATGTAGACACTGGTGCACTTTAGGCTTTCAATGTCTTGCCTGGCAACTGCGGTATGCTTTTCCAAGTACCCACTACTACCAAATGGATCTGAATAGGTGGAGGGAGCCTTCCACATGGGTAAAAACATGTAAAAACTAGGCACCCCCAAGCCAGATTATATATTATATAAATATATACAATATATATATATATATATAAATATATGCAATTAAAGACTACCACATTTTTTTGAATTCTGTGTTCGCCAGGGCCTTAGATTTTGACCCACACCTGGTAACAGTTTCCAACCTCTGGAGTGTCCATGCGCACCACGAGCAACTCATCCAAGATTTCACAACTTCGCTGGAATCCGGTCACCTTTATCAGGAGGATCATCCCTGACTTTGGAGCCACACTTTCAAAATATGCCAACATTCCAAGCAGATTCCATTCCACAACTGGCAAAAAATGCTGCTAGGCTAGGCAATATTATGTCGAGACAAAAAGAACAAGATTTTCTGAAGTCAGGTGATACGCTCACAGGTGGTTACGTCTGACAGCGATTCTTGTCATCGCCCGAAAAAGTTCCTTCAACGCTTCTGCATCAGCCGGTCGTCCTCGCTTGACAGGCGGAAGGTAAGGTAAACACAGAGGAAACTAAAGGATTTTCTTGCAACAATGAAGAAGTTTGTGGGCTGTCATGGAAATGGCCCCAAGGGTGATGCTGCAATGTACTGATCAAGCAATTCAGTGCAAGTCCCTGTTTGCTGCATAGAAGGACAAGCACCAAATCTATCTTTTCCGTTGTCGTGTCAGACTTGCAAGCATGTCAAGTCTCCTGATCCCGTCTCACACAGGTTCTTGGACAAATCCACCACCACCACCACCATCACCACCACCACCACATCATCATCATCATCATCATCATCATCATCATCATCCTCATTCTCATCATCATCATCATCATCATCATCATCATCATCATCATCATCATCGCCGTCGCCATCGCCATCGCCATCGCCATCGTCGTCATCGTCATCGTCATCGTCATCGTCATCATCATCATCATCATCATCATCATCATCATCATCATCATCATCATCATCATCCTCATCCTCATCCTCATCATCCTCATCGCCATCGCCGTCGTCATCATCATCATCATCATCATCATCATCATCATCATCATCATCATTGCCTTTTTGGTAAGGATTTGTAAGGATTGGTAAGGAATAATCACTATTGTTATTGCTACATGACTACGACTACTAACGACTACTACGACTACTGCGACTAGGACTACTACTACTACTACTACTACTACTACTACTACTACTACTACTACTACTACTACTACTACTACTACTACTACTACTACCACCACTACCATGTTAATCATGGTTATTGTTATTGTTGTATTGTCATTGCCGACATCACCGTCATCGCCGTCATCACCGTCATCACCGTCATCATCATCGTCATCATCGTCATCACATTACATCTGCACACTCCGATATCCAACTCCGATATCCACCCCAGACCCTGATGACCTCCAACTCTCTGACTGTCTTGCCCCGTTGAGCTTGATCCTCCTCCATCCGTTTCAACCTGTGACATGGCGACATTATTGAATATATAGTACAGTATATATTATAACTATAGTTAGCATACAATACTGGATACATAAATTGTATTAAATTGTGACAGTGATAACATTCAATGGGTCAGCTCCGCACATTTAAGACATGGCACCCTAATCAAAAAGCCCGTAGTGATTGGTTTGGTGTCATCTCAATGCGAAGGACGTCTGAATGCTTTCTCTAAGTGGATGCAACCCAGCATATGCACATTCCATAGACCAAGAGGCCATGCTTGTCGAGACTCCGCTGGCATTCCCATATTCCTGAGTGTTCAGATTTGAAATGGAAAATGAAAAGTTTCCCATAGTTTTCCAAGCACCATTTGCAAGGCAGTGATTCAAGTCCCAAACAGTTGCAATTGGATACGATTGAGACAAGATTTCTCAGACGAGAGTCTGGTACGGAGTTGACGATGGCGGTGCCTATGATCACTCGAAAGGAGGCAGCACATGGTTCCACTCAGAACTTGTCGATTAGACAACATTGGTCAAACATCAGCTTCGACAGAACTTTGGATTTCAATGGATTGCTGCCCGTTGCTGTCCAATATATTCCAATATGAGATCTTTAAACAGATTTATAAAGCTACCGCAGTGTGCAAGCCTTGGACCCAAATTCATCCCGTGGGGCGCCTGGTTTAAGGACCGGCCCTGCCCAGCAAAGGCGCGAATCTCGGAGAACTGAACCTGAGGGTTGGCCGCTTCGGGATCGTCACGCTCGGAGGTGTTCAACCTGTCGCACGAGAAAAAAATGAGGAAAGATATGGACAAAAACTAAAACATATGATATATTATGAGATATTATGAGATAAACTTCTGTGAATCTGTCCCGGGCAAATTTGAATGTTGAATAATGTTGATAGCTTCTAGAATCTTGTAGATGATCATCTGGTAGCTGGTGCAATCTACAGATTTTGTCAAGTTTCCACAGGATTTTTGCAAACGGCTCCCACCTGGTACTGGCACCATTGCGATCCACCACCCGGCTGGTGTCTGAGCGGGCCAACTCAAACAATGGATGGGTGTACAAACGCTCCTCCACATAGAGCCTGGGCGGAAGTAAAAATCATTCAAAATGGCCATCGCCATCCATGGCTATCCATGGCTATCTATGGCTCTGGAAAAAACATAGGCTACAGAGTACAGTAATTCAGTAACCTTTTCTTGGACCTGCAGGGCCATCCGCAAGTTTTGGAGGGCCGAAGACCAATCCAAGTCTGGGGCTGCAAATGAGGGATGTATGATATAATCTACAGTATATTATATATATATATACACTTGAAATTCAAAAACCGTAGGAACCACCTATAGGCTTTGGAGCCAACCAGTCAATTTTCATCAATTTTCCAGGTATGCACTTCATGCCAGCACGAGTCGGAAAGGTCTCCTACCCTCGGAGAGCGATACTGGTGCAACATCTCCAGTCCAACGGCATACTTGACCACCTGCCTGTAGATCTTGTAGGACTCGGCGAGACACATCAAGCCCATGTACCTCCAAGCTCAGCTAATATAGACTCTGGTTGTTTCACAGTCGTATTTTTGAAAGGAAGCCCCCGATATTTCTCAGGGTCGACAAGTTGCAACATGATCCTCTCAATGGCAACACCGCGTGACTCCTACGGCTCAGGTTCGATGGAAGAATCTAAGAGCGTTCAGTTTTGCGTAGGATTAGATCTCAATGATCTCAGATCTTAGGTTGAGCAGCATTTGGTAGCTGTGAACATTAGAAAGTCCCAACACAAGCACTGCAAGGCGCACGCCATGAGGGCAGAATTGACCCCGCCCCCACCACCGCCCAGGAAGGACTTTCCGACAGCCTGAGTGGGGCCTGGGATGGCCTGACCCCCCAGGAACGGAAATCCTGCACCGTTGAACAACTTGAACAACAACTTGAACAACAACTTGAGCTACATCTCAAGGTGTCCGTTGAATCTCAAAATATCTCAAAATATCTCAAGATACCTCAAGCATTCAATCGGGTCTGGGGGTCGGACGCTCAACAAAGCATCTCCGATGAAAATGATCTGCGACCAGGCGGTCGCACCGCAGGATGTCCGAACAATGGATGTCCGCCACATTTCGCCACTATTGGCAAATTTCACAACTGTAAACATCAAGTGCTGTAAACCGGAATCATTAAAATCTTCCATAGAAACGAGGAAACTCATCCATGCGGTCTGGGAAGCTCAGGCGATTTTCACCAACTTACATCATCATCATTCAAAACGCATGGTGTCACCATGAGTCACCTACTGTCCGACATGTACAGATTTGCTCAAAAATGGCAGATCCCTAACTTCCACTAAAATTGCCCGAAATTGGGAGTGAATTCCCCAATTTTTGGACCAACCCTCTTTCACACCCAACAATGTGGACCAACCCTCGCCGCGCCGACAAGGGAATGGATGTCCACAGAAGAACCTGTGGCTGGAACCAGTGGCTGGAGTAGCAATGGATGCAGAAAATTGGTGCACACAATCAATCAATATTCATGTGGTTAATTATTTACCTATGCATGTTATATGATTTTGATCCAATTCCAAGTGAAAAGTGAAAACTATATCCAGATTTCTAGACAATCCGTGAAACACATGGAGAACTTAAAGACGAAGATTGAAGGGTTTACAGATTCTACCATTGGTGCCAACAGATTCACTCGATTGACTCACTGACTGGCGAGTGGATAGGCCCAAAACTATTTCATCGATACCCAATCACAATATAATCACAATGTACATGTTAGTATGTAAATGTAAATATTCATTGTATAATATATTATTATCATCATTATTATTATTATTCGTATTGTTATTATTATTATCATCATTATTACTAGATGTTATTATTATTAATATTGTTATTATTGTTATTGTTATTTTTATTAATATTATTATTAATAGTAAATTAATATTATTGCATACAGTATGTATTATACACAATAATATCATAATGTTCATCTCGTTGTAATCGTTGCACAAAGAATATCATACTTGATCGGGGGTACAAGTCATTCAAGTCATTGTATAAAACTCTCCAATGATTTTTCAACTGCACTTTGGCTCAGCAATCAGACTCAGTTTCCTTCGCCAAAAAAAAAAAACATGCTTCTGACCATTTCCAACTGTCTTCAAGTGTTGCCTTCATCATACACTACATGGGACTGAACATCTCTCTAGTATTGTCAACCCTTGATCAATAAACCCTGACAATTATATTGGTGTATTAATCTCCAAAAATAGTGAGAAGTTTGCTACTAAAATTGGTCCCCCCCTATTGATCAACTCGTGGTTGAAGCCTGGCTTCACATGAGTAGCAAATGATCTTATCTCTCCAGACTTTCCAGCCGCATCATGCCATGTGATGCCGCACCAAGTGCCCCACCTTCGCTGCACAACGCGCAGAGGCACCGCAGAACCTCAGCGGTGCACCGCTGACCGGGTTGCTCCCTGGCCGCCCCTTATACAAGGGGCGGTCAATTGGATACCCTCTGGTAATTTAACATAACTATTGGGAATCACCATTTTTAATGGGTAAATCAACTATAAATGGCCATTTTCATGTTAGTTTACCAGAGGGTAAATACAAAGGTCAAATCACCAATTTACACCCATCGTGGCTCCTGGAGCAACCCTGATGAAAGTTTGTCTTCTTGCACGGTAGGAGCATTCACCACATTCACTTCGATCAAACACCTAGATTAAGTCTACTGAGGCAGCATGGCAGCGCTAGCCACACTTTTTTCGCGTGAAATCAGAAGTCGGTGGCGCCTACTTAAAACATCCTGAATCCTGTGAGTTCATGTTTTGACCTCCGGCCCTGATACATCCGGAAGACCTCATCGACAGAACAGTTCATTGCCTGTATTCTGAAAGAGGCACCAAACACATTTAATAGGTCTAATAGGTAAAGTAGAAAAAGCTCTCGTCCTTGGCGGGTTCTTTCTGAACCTTCCGCTGCGATCTCAGTGATCTGAGCGTTTCCTTTGTCTCCAGTGGATCTCGCACGTGCAGAAAACTGTTCAGTCCAGCTGCAAAACTCAGACTCCGATTGGAGTGATTTGCCAGGCTGTCCTCAGGGGCTAAAGGTTGAAAGATTTTCAAGGCCTGAACTGAAGCATGGGTCAATTGGTCCCTATCCTCAAGGAATCAACTCAGTCCGTGTTATCCAAAACCTTGGACAACTCCAAACTTGTTGTGCTACGCATTTGATAGACGGATAGGTCCAACGGCCAGTCACAATGGCACGAGTCCTCTATAATTCGGTCCTGGCAAAACCTGCCAGGTACTTCTTCAGTCTTCAGTGTACTTGTACTTTTTTGGGCTAAGATAGGCTGAGATTAGCCACTCACAGCCTTTTAATGCACTAGTTACTAGTTCCATGTATTTCCCGTCCGTGACCTCTCCGTCCTCCATGGCAATGTTCCAAAACGCATAGCCTCGAGGCCGTTCAAGGATTGGTGCGGTCATGTAGGCCACTTCTGCCTCAGGATTCCCGAATTTCTTGAACGAGAGGTGACTGTTTGCAAAGGATGAAGAAGCGGCAGTATCATGACAGACTGGCTTACTCTTGTTCTGCTCTGACTGACTCTTGAAATTCTTAGAGTCCACAGGAGTGTCCCACCAGATTTCCATGGTTTGTCATCTTACATCCCGATCCAAGCTTCATCTGATGCTTTATCCAAGCTGCTGTTTCTGGCCAAAAGAAGGCTGACTTTGGAGGACTTCCGAAACTGAATCCTCCAAGCAGGCTTTCAGTGCCGGCCGGAGGATGATGGATGATACTTAGATTGCTCCAAACAATGGCAAGGGTGAGTTTTTCCATGTGTTTCCTTGTAAAATAGCAAAAAAAGAAACGATTTGAAGCACCATTTGGAGCACGATGGATTTACAGTAGATGTTTTTTCTATACCAATCCAGAGGTTGGCGCAAGCAAAGAAAAATTTTGCGGCGCTGGCCAAGAAAAGCGCACATCTTGAAATTGTGCTGTGTGATGTGTGATGTGTGACAACCAGAAATTGCTCCAGTTGAGCTGGATGGACGGGCTTTGTAGTCTATACATGTCTATAATGTACGTGTTCCTAAACTGCCGTCATGCTTTTATGAAAAAAAGCGGGATTTCATGGTGCACCATTTGGGGGTCTCTCTAGTAAGAAACCCTTTTACTGACTGTTGCAGAGCAAGGAAAAGCCTCGAGCTATACTCTATAGACATCTATAGACCATACATGATTATCTCCTCCTATACTGGTCCTTAGTCCTTCTATACCTTCTATGACATGTCTGGCGATGCATCCCTGAACAATTACCGCTGAAGTATGCTGAAGTATTCATTCACAATGAAACAGCAGAGCTCCGGAACAACGAATTTCTGGCTTCAACCCATCCCAAAGATATCAGCCAATTGGAACCATCCCAGGTACAGAAGAAAATATCAAGGTTTTGAAGCCGCCAACCACACTTTTAGTGCTGTCCTATGAGAAACTTGCTTTGCGGTACCATGATGGGAACATTCCCTTGCAGTCTCAGCGTGGGATCATTGAAGTTGATGGTCCATCCGCTGAGAAATTCGGCTGCCCAGCTTCGCAGGTACTCCACGCCAGACATGCCTTCAGACAGCGCCTGCATGGCAGGTGCATAGGTCTCGTACAACTGAACAGAGACCTCAGGGTCAGATCAATAGCGGGATCATACGACTTTGAAGGAATATGGAACTTCCTAGAGGGAGATGTGATGAAAATGAGATCGTCTGACAAGCTGAGACTCAGCTGAGCAGCTGATACTCATCTACAGATATCTACAGTTTATGCCATCATGTCCCACAGTTCACTGATGATTGATTAAGTGGCAAGGAGCCTTTCACCAGGTTCACCATGTTACTAGAAACGTCACTGTCTAGGCGCTGCAGGCTTTGACCCCATATGATATGGATCAAATATCGAGGCCACAAATATCTGTCCAATGTAAAATATGTAAAGGTACTAAAGTCATTCGAAATATGTCCAAATATTCAAATATCAGTAGGATTCTTGCTTGACTTGTTATCCCCTACAAACATCTACAAACTGCTTACCAGTACCACCTGGGTGGTCACCACGCCCAGCCACCAAGTCAAAAGTTCCCGGAGGCGCAGCTGCCCACATGTAGGCGTAGCCATTGCGACCCCGGTAGTGGAAGTCCGGATGATAGTCCTGGACGGTGTGCAGAAAAGGAGGGGAGAAAAATTGAGAAAACCCATAGAAAAGCCATGCCAAAGCAACAGCCTTGGGATGAAATCTCTCCACGTCACGAACCAGTTTAGCTAGTTTAGTCCAACTAATTAGTGCTAGCTGGTACCCATCTGGTACCCATCTGGTACCCATCTGGTACCCTTGTCTTGGGGTCTTGGGTCGTCTTCGAGCTATCAGTATACTATCCAGATCCAGAGTGGCTTAAGGATCCGAGGTCAAAGGGTTGGATCCGATGGCACTTTGAAGTTGCAAAGGGCTCAAGGATCCAGATCCATCCGAGAAAAAACTTGCACAAAGTGAAAGAAAATGAAAGAAATCTAAGCACTTGAAATATGTACTTGAAATATCTTGAAATATTCAGCGCAGACACACATTGACCGCATGAAATACAGTACATCCTTAAGTCTGAAAGAGTTAGGACATCCCAGGGACATTGTTCAACATCTGAATCTCCCAATCTGATCGAATCTCCACAAGGTGCTTCACGCCAAGTAGCGGGATTGGAGTTGTTGAGGTAGCGATTGAAATCCGTCACGGTCGAAGCAAAGTATGTTTGCGGAGGTGCCATGGTCCTCAAGTCGCAGTCAACAAGTGTGTAGGAATCAAAATTACAGCACCAAAAGGCATCCAAAAAACGTATGGTTTAATATATCAAAGACCCTTCTTGATTTTTGTTTGAGCCATGCATATTTGTCTGGAAGTCGAAATGCACGTTTTTTTGACAGTATATACAGGACTCCAAGCCAGAAGATTAATAATCAGATATAATTATAATATCTATAATATGTATGCTGTATGCGCCTCAAAAAAAACAAGGCGTTTCCTCAATTATCCAGCTTGCCAAGAAAGATGTACCCTCATGGAACGGGCGCCTTCAATAAAACCTTGTAAGGGTCACAGTCACAGGGGTCACGCAAAAAAAACATAAAACATTTACTAGACAAATGCTGGCTGTCACTAAATACCCTGCAGCTTTCGCGGCAGCTGACATGTCGACAACAAGCTCTAAGCACTTCGAGCTGAAGACGTTCCATTCAGACTTGACATCATCATTGCCTCGAGTTGCTTGGCCCCGGTCAAAGAAGCATATCATGCAAAGATTAAGCCGGAAAAGGAAGACACCGGTAGCTGCAAAATGGTTGACCTAGTTGCCACACCAAAGATCCAAATGTGATCCCAGAATTTGGAAGGAAAAATCTCCTTTGGTGACTTGTCAGAAACATACGGCACTTGATCCATGGCTTTTGCAGAGTTACCCTCAAGGTCCCAATCAAAACCATCGAATGGCATTGGCAACGCTTGATTCCAGTCGTGCCAAGCTTGAAACCACTCGGCACCAGTGAAAGCGGTATCAGGATGTGGCGCATCCCAACCCCCAACGGTGATAAGATGAGCCGTGGGAAGATTCTTCGCAAGGATCTTTTGGCGAACTCTGGCCACACAGTCCAGGTCTGGGATGGGTCCCTTAATCTTCGGCTGTCCATCATCTTTCACCAGGTTCGTGCTGAACCAGAAGACTACGTTCACGCCCCTCTCCACAGCTTGAAGGGTTTGAGTCTCATTGCAGGCTCCCCAGTTTTGCCAGGCAGCAATGATGGGGCCGGTTGGCAAGGATTTCTGGGCCGCGTTCAGGGGGACCAAAGCCACGAAGGCCAAGGCCAAGGAGGAAGCCCAAAAGGCCAGAAAAGTCATGGCGAATCCAGCCACGCTGAGCAGCGAGAAACCAATAGAAACATTATAGCGTGAATACTACTATAGAAACCATGGAACCAGAGGCCACGGGAAAAAATATGTCGATGGGATCACCAGTGCATCACGATTCTACTAGCCGGATGTGCAGATTCGTGCGAAGAACCCTTGCATTTCATCCACAGTGGTCAAGAGTTTACTTTTCTGACAGATGGCATCTGATCTAGCTATATCATATCTAGCTATATCTAGCTATATATATAATTATTTACTGAAAACCCAGCGCCGTTTCAAAGTCGGAACTTTTCGCAGACTCGCGGCGTAATCTAAGTGCAGCTTGCCTTCCAGAACACTTGGAACCAAGGAAGGCATTGCTCGCATTTACTTCCGAGCTCTCAGAAAGCGCAATGCTTCTCCAACGATCTTATGAGTCTCCTGCATGCTGCTCATGCTGGTGCTGCCAGTATTCGCGTCCTGCTTTGAGGAGTCTTGGAAGTACATGACAGCAGCAATCACCAATATGACCTGCCAGCGCGGCTTTATCCATGTTAACCCGTTCTGGGAGAACGTGGTGAAATACATGTGTAATTACATATGTAATATGTATGTGATATTGAAACGCTCAATAGATCGGATGTTTGCCGATGGAGATAGGGGCTTAGCTTTTTATATATATTCTATGTTGTGCCGAGTACAGTTTCATGAGCAAGACCTCTCTAGCAATCCTCAGTCTCGTCCCTGGCTCAGGCCTATTTGCAAAGCAAATTCGGAAGGGATAATCCCATGATTTCAATTTGCCTCTGGTGTATTGTTATGTATCACTGGGGTGATTTGAGGTAAAGTTGAAAGAAGATACCATTGCTTGTTCATCCAAATATACAGGTTTGTAGTGTATGATCCCAATTCTTGGCATCACCACAATTGAAATCGCAACATCTTTGAAACTGTATATGTCTGTAACATTTCTAGAAATTACTACAGCAAATGACTGATGCTCGTCTTTGTCCAGTCAGAAACTATGTCTGCCAAATCCACCAGGAATCCCCGCAATCGCCAGCAAAATGGCGACACACACCACCATGGTCCACTTCCTGCAGCATGAACCAACAACGCCGGGATCCAAATACGGTTTAAGCAACAGTTGAATGGGGTATCAAAGCCAACCATGGTTTAACCAAAATTAGAATCATAAAAAAGAAGTAATGGAATGGGATGATAGGGGATATATATATATATACCATTATATACCCAACTTGATATGGTACTTGGGTTTGTTTTTTCTCTTGCCACCAAGTCAATGAATAAAATGATGATATACAAACCATGTCAAACCATGGGATGGAATGGGGTTGAGAATCGCACTGCTGTGATGACTGACTGGAAGCCACGTACAATCTTTTAAGCAAATAGTGCACCACCAGCTTCATTCACTCCTGAAACTTGTACATGTGCTTAAAAAGCTCAAAGGGTGCCTCGATTGCTTCTGGTCGCAAAAAATTGATTATAACCCCAATCACCAAGTTCCACTGCTAGTTTTGTGGTGTGTATTCTCACTTCTTAGTGGCATGGCCAACATACCTGCGACTCAAAGCCTTTTATGTCCAAAGTTGGATGGTTTACATAGTTTACATACAAGAATTGTACTAAAGCCACCAGCCATTTCTGGTCTTGATACTTTGCATCTGTCATCAAAAGAAACTCAGTGGGCCCCGCCTCCGGGTGTTCCCATGCGCAAGGACCGAGGTCATGGTGGAAGTGCTGGGCCAGCTGAGGCCACTTTCCTGATGGAAATCTCTAGGGGAAATTGCTTCGATTCTGGGATTATTTGGGATTATTTCACTGTTGTTTGGATTGTTTTCGGATTGTGGCTTTGTTTATGGTTGCATTATGTTGGATTGTTGACAGATGGGGACTTTAGGATGGCGGATTGTCGATGTTCTATGGGGATTCTTACTGGATGCGCTAATGATGTCATTGGATTACATGAGAATATTGGATGTGATGGGATTGGATGGAATTCGTGTCGGAATCTTATTGGATGTTTATGGAAATCCTAGGGGCATTCGATGAGATCATGATGGAATTTCGAATGCTGAATGATTACGGGTCTTGCAAATGATGCTTCGGGAATGTTGATGGATTTGGATTGTGAATATGAATTTTATGGGACTTCTATGGGAATAGGTGGATGGGATCATGATCGGTCCCAAAAAATGATGGAGATATGGTTCACCATATACACAAATCCCTATCCAAATGCACTAGGGAATCATGCGTCTGAATCTCTTTGGGGGCTCCAAAGTGACTCCCAAGTGCTGAAGAATTCCGCTAAGTGGCTCTAAGTCGAAGTTGCTCATGGGATTGTGGGCCCTAATTCTGGTGCCCCATGTATTCTGCAGCTGCAGCTGTGATAGCAAACAGTTCATCCCTGGTTCAACCTGACAAGTCTCAGTCTTCGTCATCCTAGGTTGGAAGATAACAAACAATTGAAGTCAGCCACTTTTGAAAATAATGATGATCATTCAAAAATATTCAAAGTGATCGTAGCCTTTTGTCATTCAGCAACGGCAGCAAGTCATCCCCTCCGCTCCAAGGCTCAAAGCTGGACATCTCCAAGTTCACACCAGCCCTCGAGCCATGCCGATCAGTTGGGCATTCTTCAAATTGATCTCAATTTTCGCATATTCCGGATATCAATTGAATGGTAGAAGGAAACACATTCTCCAAGGTCAGAGCGAAAATCACAGGACCTGTGCCAGTACTATGCTTGATTTTTGACTGAGTTTGTGGGGTGTGTCCTAAAATCGGGCCATGAAAAATGAGAAATATATAATACTATATGATGATTATGATGATCTTTGCCATGGGATGGAATAGGGTTCCAAATTTAGAGATAAATCCGTTTTGATCCAGCTGGTTTCACCTTTCAGATTTCACTTTAAAGGCTGGGCATAGCCCTTGCAAAACGGGTGTGGGTCAAAACCTTGCACCCCTGGTGCAGATGCCAACCATGAACAGAGCATCTTTCTTGGGATGTTCGTTAATCCAACATTGATCAACATTTAGATGAAGTATTGATAATCATAGGCTGTTCAGTGCATCACACCTGGTTACATGACGAGCTCATGGATGTCCATTCCAGCCAGGTCCTTCCCTGGAAGATAGGATGCAGCCAAGTAACATGGACGGTCGGCCCTTGGCCTGGCTGTACGGTGCTTTACAGCGGTGGCAGCCATGGCTGATCCGTGGATGACCCGTTGGCGCCTCCAGCAGGTTGTTCAGCAAATCAACAGCCTCGGCATTGCCAACTCAGAGAGTGGGGGTGCTCTGTGCAGATCTTCACTGCGGAGAGGTTGATTCGATCAATCCCACAAGTATCTCTCCCATTTTTCTATAGGTGAAATGTCCATTTTAGATCATTTTAACTTCATTTTTTAGGTGCTGAATTATAGACAAGACCTCCAATTTTCTGGCTGAAATTTGTTGACTCTCTGTGAACTCAACCCCCCCGGTTTCTTCGCAGCTGGGCCTTGCTGGGCCTCCGCACGATCCCCGCGGCCTTCCTCACTGGCGTAGCGCTGCTGCACAGCAAATCCCACTGTTCCTCTGAGGCGAAGTCAGGCCGCAACGCCTTCTCCGGGAAGTCGAATTTCCCGGCGCTCGCACCCCCTGGGAGGAGCTCCTCGTCCTATAGGTCCTACGTCCTCCTACGAAGTTGACTATATCAGTGGGATAAGCCTACAATTTGCCCAACATAGAAATGTATAGACATGTAAAATCCTACTAAAATAGTGATCAATGACTTGTCTTTGTTGGGGGATTGCTATTTGAGATTATATTATATGTGATGGGATGATACGGAATAATTCAAGGAATAAGAATTTGGATTGCCATATAACTGGCTACCTGCATACCAATCAGGGGAGAATACAGACAAAAATCGGGATAATTGATGGGATTATAATGTGGGCTCATAACATGGGGTGATATGGCATTTTGGAAGGACTGGAGAATGGGAACTATGGATGGAGATTCAATACTTTTGTTTGGATCAAACGTGAAACTGATCGGCTGTAATTATGTGTTCTGTCAAAGGAGAATGGATGCTTCTCTGTGCCCGATGGCAGGCCAGTTCAGCAGTCTGATGCAATATTTTCAGCGACCATTTCGGCTATGTTTCCATACGCGTTTCTTCGCCACAAACAGTGAAAAAGAGAAGCTGAGGGAATAAACCAGAAAAGGAACATGCAAGAAGCTTCTCAGCAATAGAAGGTCACCTTGACACATGCTACATCCACATCCATTTCAATTTCAACCTGGAAACCCAAAAATAGGCCCTGGAAGATTACTTTCTGAACTTGAAATATGGCCACAATACATCAATATGGGTTTCATCTTAAATTTGATGCATCTCCCCCATTCCTGGCCTGTGCGTTTCAACGCCAGTACATGGGCACTACGTGCCATGACCATCCGGGCATCTTGTGCCACTCCGGGACCGCCCTGCACAAGGATTGGTGGATAAAATGGAGGGTGGTTCAAACAGTTTTACACATTGCCTGAGGATTCATCTACAGTCATCACCATCATCCAATGCACGATGTTATCGATATTTACGAGAGGAAAACCGATAACAACCAATTAGAAAGCTAGGAATTGTTCCATATGTAACAATGAAGAGATATGATATTGGGATAAGAACGTAGGTACAATCGGAATATAACCACGGACACTGAAACTATCTACATGGAGATACTAGCGACCAGACTTGGTGGATGGAGCTTGGTGAATTTTTGTTATCACAATTCTCGGGACGGATACCTATCTGGGTTTGTTCATACACGGGTTAATTAACCCCCCAAAATATATTGAAATATCAGTTCAATTGTCATCATTCTCCTCAAACGGCCATTGACTGGTGGTTTCAGCTGCATGGGAGATCTCTCAAGCGAAACTTCGAAAGGTAAGGCCATGACATGCGCACGGCTCCCCAACCATGGGGTATTGGTGACACTAAAATCAAAACCACAAAATCATCCAATCTTCGGATGATCTCCCCATTTACCATTTAAAATCACCAAATTTATCAAATTGTGGGATGATCTCCCCACCATTTCTACATGTTCTACCATGTTCTATCCATCGGTTGGTCCAGCCCCAGTGGGTGCCTCCACGGTGATGTAGACGTCTCCCACCTCCAAGAAGAGTTTCTTCACGGAATCCGCATCTCTGGCAACCACGATGTCCTGAAGGATTTTTGGTTGACACAACCTTGCAAGGAAAAAGGGAAACATGATTTACATGATTTACATGGTTATACAATGAATACCTTATAATGCCTAATTTAT